GCACATTTTGGATATATCTCGTTTGTTAAGTAATATTTATTCCCTTCTCAGATCTTTGACGGAGTTGAAGATTATATAATTGTAGTTACTCTCTACATTATTTAGACTCCTTGGGATAGAATGTTTAGCAAAACTTTTGTTCTCAATATTGTTTGTTATATTTATAACTTGTTATTATTGTATATAGTTGTATTTGGTTTAGTGCTGTCTTTTTTAGACAAAAAGGGGAGATGTAGGGATAAGTCCTGCCCCTAAGGGGGCGTGTTCGCCTCGGGCTAATGTTTGCCTATAAATTTGGCGAGCGTGCTCCCAGCTGCTGCTTCTGCTTTCCTGGTCTCCGAGGGAACAGTGGTTCTGTAAGTCTATTTCTACATTAAAGATATATATATGTATATATATATATATATACATATATATATATTTACAATCTGCCTGCATTCGTTTACGCCGTTACATATACCACATGTACACCACACACTCACATGTATACCACATGTGCACCACACACTCACATGTATACCACATGTGCACCACACACTCATATGTATACCACATGTGCACCACACACTCATATGTATACCACATGTGCACCACACACTCATATGTATACCACAGTGCACCACACACTCACATGTATACCACATGTGCACCACACATTCACATGTATACCACATGTGCACCACACACTCACATGTATACCACATGTGCACCACACACTCATATGTATACCACATGTGCACCACACACTCACATGTATACCACATGTGCACCACACACTCACATGTATACCACATGTGCACCACACACTCATTTGTATACCACATGTGCACCACACACTCACATGTATACCACATGTGCACCACACACTCATTTGTATACCACATGTGCACCACACACTCACATGTATACCACATGTACACCACACACTCACATGTATACCACATGTACACCACACGCTCACATGTATACCAGATGTGCACCACACACTCATATGTATACCACATGTGCACCACACACTCATTTGTATACCACATGTGCACCACACACTCACATGTATACCACATGTGCACCACACACTCACATGTATACCACATGTGCACCACACACTCATTTGTATACCACATGTGCACCACACACTCACATGTATACCACATGTGCACCACACACTCATTTGTATACCACATGTGCACCACACACTCATATGTATACCATATGTGCACCACACACTCATTTGTATACCACATGTGCACCCCACACTCATTTGTATACCACATGTGCACCACACACTCATATGTATACCACATGTACACCACACACTCACATGTATACCACATGTGCACCACACACTCATATGTATACCACATGTGCACCACACACTCATATGTATACTACATGTGCACCACACACTCACACCTATACCACATGTGCACCACACACTCATATGTATACCACATGTGCACCACACACTCACACCTATACCACATGTGCACCACACACTCATATGTATACCACATGTGCACCACACACTCATATGTATACCACATGTGCACCACACACTCACACCTATACCACATGTGCACCACACACTCATATGTATACCACATGTGCACCACACACTCATATGTATACTACATGTGCACCACACACTCACACCTATACCATATGTGTACCACACACTCACATGTATACCATTTGTATTCCATACACTCACATGTACCACACACACATACACAGGAAAAATAATAAAAATTTAAATAAATAATTTTAAAATCGTTAATTTTCTCATTATAAAATGGGTCCATTTTAACACTCAAATGTTGTAAACTTTGGGGAGATTGGAATATTTTATCATAAAAATGATAGTTCACAAGGAGAGCAAGAGCACTGGCTGGGAAAATATGCAAAGGTACAGACAGCTGTGGATGGCCAAAAATATGAGCCTATTGACCTTGACTAAAGGTCAGAGAGTTGGAACTTAACTCTATTTCTTCACAAGGTTATTGTGTTTCTACCTTAAACTCAGATCCCACTAAGATTCAGACCAGAGAATTCTGCTCTCTCAAAGTTTTTGTCAACTTGTGTGGCTAATAGCCAGATCTTGTATTTCCAGTATAGAGAAGTAGATATGTTTCTACCTCAAAGAAAAGTCTATGGATCCAACTAAGGTTCCAGTTCCTTTAAGAAGATAACATTGGGACCTTGGGGGCTCAGTCCAGTGCTTCAGTGTGGGTCTCTGTCTCTATCTCTATCCATCACCAGATGAAGGTTCTATGATGATATGCAAGATATTCGTCAGTATTGCTCTAGGATAGGGTCATTTCAGGTTCCCTATCCTCAGCTGCCCAAGGAACTAACTGGGAACCTCATCTTGGGCGCTTGGGAGCCCCTCTAGGGTCAAGTTTCTTGCCCACCCTAAAGTGGCTCCCTTAACTAAGAATTGTGGTTCCGTGCTCCCCTATCCACCTGAGGAGCAGAAGGAGGGAGAACATGAGCAAAGAAGTCGGGACCATAAGGGGTGCACCCACCCACTGAGACAGTGGAGCTGATCTACTGGGAGCGCACCAAGGCCAGCTGGACTGTGACCGAAAAAGCATGGGATAAAACCGGACTCTCTGAACATGGCGAACAATGAGGGCTGATGAGAACCCAAGGACAATGGCACGGGGTTTTTTTTTGTTTTTTTTTTTTTGTTTTTTTTGAGACAGGGTTTCTCTGCACGGGGTTTTGATCCTACTTAATGTGCTGGCTTTGTGGGAGCCTAGCCAGTTTGGATGTTCACCTTCCTAGATATGGACGGAGGGGGGAGGACCTAGGACTTACCACAGGGCAGGGAACCAGGACTGCTCTGTGGACTGGAGAGGGAGGGGGAGAGGAGTGGGGGGAGGGGGAGAAGGGTGGGAGGAGGGGGAGGGAAATGGGAGGCTGGGAGGTGGTGGAAACTTGTTTTTTGTTTATGTTTTTTTTCTCCTTTTCTCAATAAAAAAAAATATTAAGTAAAAAAAAAATCCTAAACTAAGAAAAAAAAAAAAAAGAAGAAGATAACATTGGATTCCACCCAGGGAGTGGTTTGCCTACAGAAGATTTTGGTCTAGGGTGTGAGTGTGACTGGTTTTGTTCTAGCAACAGAATGTTTAACTGTGACTGTCGCCTGCAATCTTTAACTGATCTGTTCATTTTTTCATTTCCTTGTATCATGTTAATGCAATTTTTTATCTTACTCCTAACTTTTGGGACCAGGAGTATTTTAAGCAATCGAAAATTAAATGAATTCCCTTCCGATACTATCCTATCTTTTCTGTTGTATTATTTTTCATGCATCTCCGTATTCTTTACTAATTTTTCTAAATCCCCATGCACCTACCCTGGCAAGTGGTATTTTTGTTGAGGCTGGTCCCCAACAGCTTTCTCCAGTGTTCCTCCTGGGAATGTGAAACATAGAAGGTTTTTCTTTTTCTTCCTTTGTTTAAGGCATGTAAACACATCTCATGTAACCCCGTCTGCAGACTGACTTACTATGTAACCTAAATTAATCCTAAAATCCTAGGCCTCCTTTTCAGCCTCGAAATGCCTGGATTATAGCAATCCTACCCAGCTTGTCATCACCTTTTCTCCTTTCCATTCCCACACTTGGTTTTTCTGGCTTTTTTCTTTTACTATTTTACTTTTACTTTCTTTCACTATAATAACCTACACTAATTTTTTATAACTCTGTGTGTGTGTGTGTGTGTGTGTGTGTGTGTAGTGTTTTTGTTGAGGCTAGATCCCAGGGCTTCATATGTGTCAGACTGGCACTCTACCATTGAGACACATCCCCAGTGCAGTAACTAAATGAAAAATAGGAATAGTAACTTGAAGTCAGCCACAGTGCTACACGCCTTTAAACTCAACTCTGCAAAGGCAGGCATAGCTCTGTGAGTTTGAGGCCAGCCTGGTCTACAAAGCAATTTCTAAGACAGCAGAGATACACAGAACTACCTGTTTTAAAAAAGGAGGGGTAGCTTTTCAACATCCAAATATAATTTGTTCCTTCAGTATGCAGTCTAGTAAGCACACTTCCACACCGTATGCTCACTAACTTTAAAAAGCAGGGTACTATAAAGCACATAGTCTATAGAAAAGGTACCATAGTGTATGTACAATCCACTACATGGCCTTGTTTCCAATTCCACCAAATCTATGAAAGTTGGTTCTGGAGATTAGGATTGTCTTCAGATATTTGACTAGCAATCATAACCCATGATTTGCATGTGAACATTGAAGGAACTGACAATGGCATTTCTTCATTTCTCCCCCACTGTGACTCCATGTGTATCTATCTGATTTCTTTTGATGCCAGAATGAGTCATCCATCTCAAGACAGAAAACAGTTTTTTTTTTTAAGTGCACTCACTATAGGGGCTGTGGGCTGAACAGCAACAAGGAGTACTGCCTAAAGACAGCACCATGTACCTCAAACAAACCTGAGGTGATGCCACTGCCAGAAGAACATGCTGTGTGCAATGCAACGTCCCCAGAAAAGGAAGAGATACACATGGAGGAAAGTTGTTGCCCATTAAGTGCTTTAGCCAAGCCAAACCCAAAATGAGACCACAGAGTTCTGAGACGAGCTGAAATTCGATGACTGCCAAAGGACATACCACATGGGTGCTGTAATGACAAGTTGGTTGTTTAAGTTTAATGAAACAGAGATTCTCTGTGTAGCACTGGACATGTAGACCAGGCTGGCCTCGAACTCTGAGAGATCCACCTGCTTCTGACACTTGAGTGCTGGGTTGAAAAGTGTGTGCTATCATCACCCAGTACAAGTTTTTATAGCAACAGTTCTGCACTGTGGGTTTGTTAATGACACAGTAGTACATCCCCAAAGTCTAAAGCAAAGTGGCATCCAGCCATTAAAGTCATAAGAACATAACTGTGAATGGGCCTGAATGTAGTTCAGGACTCTGCTGATGACTGAGTTCCCAGTGTGAGCTACACAATCTACTCCCTCCATAGCTTACCTGGGTTTGCTTCAAGCCCAGAAGGACCTCTGCAACCAGGACTTGTTCTATCTCCATTGATCTGCTCATGGGAAGAGGCATTTGTGCAGAAAGATGCTGTCCCAGTAACAGGAGGACTGATCACTGCCCCAAGAGAAGAAAAAACAGATGTTAGATGATTCTTCTCTTAGAAAAGAAGCCAAGTACACATGAGATGATGAGGCCATCCTATGACTGCCCAGCACCATAAAGCCATGCTAAAGTAAATCCACAGAGCATCAAGATACTAGAGAGTCGGGGATTAGAAATCACCGAACAGATTTAGAATGTATCCAAGCCCACACTGATAAAGTAGTGAGTAAAGAATGTCCAGCTCTTTTCATACAGATGGACACCAGGAAGTAAAGAAGGATGGATGTTTGCTCTTTCTTAAAAAAAATCTAATCAGTCATTCAGTAAATAAATCACTATGGTAGTCATTGTGATAAAACTAATTAAAGGAAGATTGAGTATGGAGGCTAAACTTTGTGGGGAGAACGGTGGGGTATTGAGAGAGCCTAAAGTTGTTCGCGTGAGAATGTTCCTAAAAGTGAAGAAAGCCAGGGGACTCCAAGTTAACAATTAAGCAAGCCCCGTGCCAACAGAAGTGCACAAGCCTTACCCCCAGCCTCCAGCAGTGATTGAAACTATGAGTCTGCTATTTTACTGAGAAAGGAGGCAAAATTATAGGCAGCCTATCCACTAGAAAACACTGCATCCAGATACACTTATTGGCTTTAACAAGAACACTGTTTCCATAGAAGAAAATGTGATTTGCTCTGAGAGGAGTTCATAAGTGGGAATATTTGTAACTGTGTATTGATTTTTGAGAAAATACATAATACAGTATGTGTGGTAGTTTGAATGAGAAAAGTTCCCCCATGGACTCCTTTATATCTCATCCAAGGCTGGCGGTGCAGTTTGGAGAGGTTATTTAATACTTAGGTGCGGGTTTGCTGAGGAAAGTACTTCACTGAAGGCAGGCTTTGGAAGCTTGCAGCCTTACCCCACTCCCTTCCTGCCTTCTCTGCTTCCTATAAAAATGAAACATGATTGGTCAGCTTTCTGTTCCTGCCACCAGCTTCCATTCCATCCCAGGAATGATGGACTCTTGCTCTCTGAAACCATAAGCCAAAATAAACTCTTCCCTCTATAAGTTGGTTTTGGTCAAGGTGTTATATCATAACAACAGAAAAATGGATACAGCAGGGATATAATGAAGGGTGTGTGTGTGTGTGTGTCTGTCTGTCTGTCTGTCTCTCTCTCTTTCTCTCTCTCTCTCTCTCTCTCTGTGTGTGTGTGTGTGTGTGTGTGTGTGTGTGTGTGTGTATGTGTGAAGGCAGAGAGCACACACACATGAAAAGTGAATTGGAGGGAAGCAATTCTTATTTATTGTAAGTGTGTCAAATCCTAAGGCTAGAATGCCTTGTAGTATTGAGCTGGTAACTGCTCTATACACCAGAGGTTTATTTCCAAATAAACTGTGGTTTATTTGGTGGTTTCCATTATACATTGTGGTATGCCGCTTTCCTGGGTATGCCACTGATTTGTAGCTAAAGAAGTGAGAGAGGGTAGGTAGTGAATATTCTCAGTAACTCTATAGCACAGGTACCCAAAGAGTTCATTCAATCGGGTTTCCTGAGAGTAGTGGTTCATTCTGCAGATGTTCCCAGTAGCCAAGTCAGGCAATAGAATAAGCAAGCCTAGTGACAATAAGCCACCAAACCCTGACACTTCTAGCTGTAGGCAACTGAATCACAACAAAAATGGGGTACAGCAGCAACTGCAGTCCCAGATACTTGGCAGAAAGTTGCTTGAGCCCAAGAGTTTAATGCTAGTCTGAGAAACAAGAAAAGAGTATGCCTTCCTCTATACCTATAAAATGTGCTCAAGAGTAAAGCTGCAGACAGGCTTCTGGATCTCAAAATATAGAGAAGCAATGTAAACAGAGGCTGGAGAGATTCAGGAGACACTGGAGCAGCCTACAGAACCTCAGCACCATCATGATGACAGCCGTTTATCACTGTAGCATGTAGACATGGCAATGGAGGTGAGCACATTCCACTTTCCCAACAAAGAACACGTTGTAATTACCCTTCTGACTGGCTTCATGTTCCACCAGAGTGTATGATCTAGCTTAAGGGTACAACCTTAGCTACAGAGAAAACCTCTGCCTTGTCTATCTAGTGCTATGGCAGTAACCTGACCTGAAGGGGAGGAATTTAATCTGGCAGAGGTAAAAGGGGTTTTCATACAAAGATATTTTCCAGAGATCTTTCACCAAAAAACTAAGTAGGAATACTTACCCCAACTGTATATGTCTGTCAAAATTCCTAGTATATTATAAAGAGGAACTTGGCACTGATAAAGACAATAGCAAGAACAACCTGGTCACACTGAAAAGTACTTTACATACTGAAACCAGGATAACCTTCTTCTGCCCACCATCCCACCATTCTTCATAAAACAGATATCACAGCTGAAACAAACAGACTGAAGCTTGATTTCTGGGCATAGCTTACTACTGACTGCTCTTGTGGTTACAATGTAAAATGGCCCCAATAGGCTCATGGAGTTGAACAACTGGTCTCTAGTTAAGACTGGTGTTTTGGGAAGTGATAGAATCATTACGAAGTGGACCTTTGATGGAGGAAGTACCCTCACTGGAACAAGGCTTTGATATTTTATAGCCCGACCCCTGTTTTTCTCTTTCTTGCCTTTCTGTGTGATGATGAAATGTAATCGGCCAGCTTCCTGTGTCTGCCACCATGCCTTTCCCTACCTGTTGCACGGTTTCCTGGTCACGATAGACTTATTCCTCTGGAATTACAAGCCAAAATAAACGCTTTATCTCCTAGATTGCTTTTTGTCAGAGCATTTTATTACGTCAACAGAAAAGAAAATGAATACTAATAGAATAAGTATCTTCAAAAGGCCAGCATTTCATGACAGAGCTGAACTTCCTGGAATTTGATCCTCCACTAACTGGACTACGCAAACAAAGATTTCCTGTCCTTAATGTGGCTGTACCTGCTTGGTTTGTCTGTGCTTGTGCTGCTCATCAACAAATACACAGCACCATAATGTGAGTTAGGGTAATGCATCTACAAGACTTACTGGCTCTAAGCATCCATTTCCTTATGAGAAACTCGAATAAATACAAAGGGAATAACAGCTAACACTGTGACTTGATCTTCCTGGTTGCTCTCCGATTTATGTAAAAGGAAAGGTACCTGTTTGGATTCCTAGTGGGCTGGTTCTGGAAGAGGCTGACAGAAAATCCTGATCCCAGATAGGAGAGTTTTGACTATACACTTCTTCTTCCAACATGGACAGAAACCTAGGCACACACACACAAAAAAAAAAATCAAAACAAAACAAACAAACAAAAAACAACAACAAAAAACAAGAGTGACCTTCTAAAAATTATAAATATTTGTTGGGCCAAAATTATCTCAGGACCTGTACTTTGAGGCCTGTAGGACAGAGAAAAGCCTGGCTCGAGTTTGAGGGATAGTCTCAAAGCTGCTGAGGATGAGACAGTAAAATCTAGGTAGACGCCCCTCTAGTCAGAGGGAGGGCTTGGCTGTCTCTTATTGGCTGGAGGAACCCCCACATCACACGATGTCACGTAACCTATATAAACTGACGCTCACAGTAGTAAACTGAGTTCCTGCTTTGACTTGACCCCTATCGTGCCTGATTGTCCTGTGTTGTGGGGTTGCAGAATGGACAGATAGCCTACTCACCTTTCCCTGGGGAATGAGGCTAAGGAGGGCTGGCAAGTATTCCCCAAGGCTCAGAGACCATCTTAGAAGAGGGAACAAGAAGGAGGTAAGAGCTAGATGTCAGAAAGACTGAGGACTGAGGCAATACAGCAATACAGTGTCTTCTGGACATGACAATATAACTGCACTCTGGCTAGATCAAGGCAGTCAGGATTTCAGGTTGGAGAGAGGTCAGGGCTCTCACAGTCTCCACCCCAGCTGAAAGGTCATTTGATAGTTGATGGCTTCTGGGAAAGGGAAAGTCAGTTTTAAGGCCGTGTCTCCTGGTAAATCAACCAAGCTCCAGTAGATAGTCCCACAATGAAAAGTATAAGGGGTGTTGGGCCGTGGTGGCACACGCCTTTAATCCCTGCAGAGGCAGGCAGATCTCTACAAGAGCTAGCTCCAGGACAGGCTTCAAAGTTACAGAGAAACCCTGTATCAAACAAACAAACAAAAAAAAAAACCAGAAAAGTATAAGGGCAGGACAAATTGGACTTGATGGGTCATTTAAAGACAAAAGAGGGCATAAAGGGTAGTAGAGAGGTAGGGGTGGATCTGGGAGGAGTTGGTGGGGATGGATGTGATCAAAATACATGAAATTCTCAAAGAAATAATGACAATATTTTTAATTAAAAGATATAGGTAGGAAAAATGGCTGGGTGGTTCATTCTGAGCACCTACATGGTGGCTCACAAACATCTATAATGTCAGTTTCAGAAGATCTGATGCCCTCTTCCGACTTCCATGGATACCATGCATGCACAAGGTACACAAAAAGAAACTCAGGCAAAACATCCACACAAAAAAAAATAAAACAAAATAAAATAAAAACATTTTAAATAGATAAAAAATAAACCTTTGTTACCAGAATCAAAAAGCCTCAGTCACTTGTAGCAACCACCCTAGAACAGGGTTTCTACTTCAACCATAATATATATTGGAATTAAGACTCAAGTGATGATTTCAGATGGCCGTTTCTGTCTATTGAAATAGAGGAAAGTGTTTCTACAAACCTCTCCTTTTACTCCTGCCTCACTTGGTAGGACACTGGCTACAGAGTACTAATACACTGACCAGATGCATCCTCGGTGAGCCTCCCAGAAGATGCCAGCTCTCTATGTAGTTGTTATTGGCATCACTGCCACCAATGCTGTTGTGTCCTGACTAGGTACCTACCTGCACTGCTTCTGTAGCTTCTGGAACTTCATTCTGAATAACGGATCACGCTGTGAGTTACATATCTCCTTAGCGCATCTGAACACATCTCTTACTACTTGACAGTGTTGTGAGGTATTGATGTGCTTAGTTACTATAAATAGAATCCACTGCACCCATGGAAACATGTAAGGTGCACCCTTGACTACCAAACGGCAGGGTGTGAGTTGAGACCGATGGTGAGTACTTACTCACTCCTCAACCCACTATAAATATATCTCAAGTTTTGGAGGTCAAAAGCAAGATACCCCAATGTTACCACATTACTTTTTTCCACACACACAAAAGAAAAAAGGAGGGAAATAGGGGAAAGGCTAGGGATATGGCTAACATATATGAAGAAGCCTTAAATTCAGTCTCAGAACTGCAAAATTAATAAGAGCTGGGTACAAGCCTTCCATCACAACACTTGGGAGACAGAGGCAGGTGGATCTCTGTAAGTTCAAGGCAGCCTGGTCTACATAGAAAGTTCCAGACCAGCAAGAAATCAAGGCTAGATAGTTAGACTCTGTTTCAAGAAATAAATAATATGGAGGAAAGGGAAAACTGGGAGGTTTGGAGGGAGGGAAAACTGGGGTCAGGATGTAATACATGAGAGATAAAGAAATTTAAATAAATAAATAAATAAAGGCAAGTAATGAAAGAAAAAGCAACATATAAAGATAGGAAGAAGGGTATGAAATTTAGGAACAAACCAGAGAAATAGGTTCTATAGGGGAAATAGGTACTAGGTCTCCATCTGGCATACATGGCCAAGTTCAAATGCACCTGGGTTAATATCCAAAACTATATGTATAAACAGCCTCCAATGTTGTCATGTGCTATGAAAAGAGATTTGAAAGACGTGAGTGGTATTTTTATCATTAGTAACAGAAGAAGGAAAAAGAGCAGCATTGATTTCTCAGTTCAGCACACAGACATGCCAGAATTGTGAGCTGAGCGAACAACACACTATAATTAGCAAATATCTACAAAGGGCAAAAATAATTTTACTGTTATTATACAAACTAATAAAACTGCCACTATACAAAGTAATTAAATTTCTCCATTAGCACTACAACAGGTATGGGACTCAGGTTCCCTCTATGTGCCTTGACAGAGATAGACCGCTACCCTCTGAAGACAGAACGCTCCTTAAGTGGCAAATTAGAAACATTAAGTGTGAGATGGCTTTAAAATGGAGGAAAGGAGCTTTCAAAGCCTGAGACATGACCTCTGTGATGCTGCATAATCAGAACCACACACTTTCTAGCTGGGGTAGCATGCAACTTAAACGTTCTTCTGGAATCCTATACATTTCATGGCTGGAATTTTGCTTCCTGCTGAGCATGCCTTCATCTCATCTTAGAAAAAGTTGATACTGTAAATGTTGAGTACTTGGTTCAAGCCCTTCACCACTAGCCACAGCATTTCCTTCGTTAGCCTTTGGATTAGGATCCAGCAGTCAAGGAGAGTTCTGTAATCTTAATCAGAAAAAGATTTCTATTGTTGTTGTTGTTCTATGTGTGCATGTGTGTGTGTGCACTTGAGCATATAAGCACATGTAATGTTGGGGATAAAACCCCCGGGAGACAAAAACTCTGTCATTGAGGGACACCCCCAGTCCTTGAACCTTTCTGCTTAGTGCATTTTTTTCTCCCTTACTTTTATTTTTCAAATCAGCTTACAAAGTAACAGGTTCCCACATACAGTTTTGACACATTTCAATTTAGTTGATCCCTACCTCCCAACTCAGTACCTAACTTATTCTTAAATTTTAGAAAAGTATGTTTAGAGCCAGATTTGGTGATAAACACCTGTAATCCCACCACTACGAAGGCTGGCTTATGTAGAGAAAAACTCTGAGTTCACAGCTAGCCTAGACTACAGACTGAGATCTTCTCTCAAAACAAGAACTGTTGGGCTAGAAAGATGGTTTGGAGGTTAAGAGCATTCATTGCCTGCTCTTCCAAAGGTCCTGAGTTCAATTCCCAGCAACCACATGGTGTCTCACAACCATCTGTAATGGGGTCTAGTGCCCTCTTCTGGTCTGCAGGCATACACACAGACAAAATATTGTATACATAATAAATAAATAAATATTTAAAACAAACAAACAAACAAAACAAAACAAACAAACAAAACACTCAAGAACTGTTAACATCTTTCCTAAAACACAAATTGGGTAACTCAATAACAATATCTTGATAATAAAAATTCAGTTTTTCTGTGGCTAAACATAAGGTTCAGCAGTTAAGAAAATATATTGATCTTGTAAAGAAGAGTCAAATTCAATTCCCAGAACCCACATCAAGTACTCACAACTGCCTACAATTCCAGCTCTAGCCAAACCAAGCACTTCTGGTCTTCTCAGCTATTCGTGCTTACATACACAGACCACATAGAGATGTGTGTACACATAATTAAAAAAATCAAAGAAATCCAAATATTAGTTTCCCAAAAGCAAAATTTCAATAATCTTTGATCAAAGAATACAAAACTGCCTCTCCTAGTGTGTTCCAAATGGAGAGTTTTCAGTTCAAGAGGAAGGAAATATGTTACTCCTGGTAGGACAGGGAAGAAAGAAATGCCTCGTCACTCCTGGTAGCTCTCGAATCTTTACTTTTTTTCTACTGTACACCAACCTAAGCAGAATTTTTTTTAAAAAAATTTCCATCCATCCCCTAAAACCCAACCGTATTGTGTATTGGTCATTCATGTATTGTGGTCCTTGCTCAACAAGCCACGAGCTGTAGCCATACTTAATTCCTCTCCAGTAGGCATCCTCTTCCTAGACTAGACTCAGGGTTCTAACCTGAGGATGGACCTCACTGGCAGGCTACATACCCAATGTGTGAGGCCTGAGGTTTGAGGAAACAAAATTCTTATGGCCTCAAGGTCCAGAATCCAGAATGTAGCACTCGAATTTCCTTTTTTTTTTTTGTTTGTTTGTTTTGTATTGTTTTTCGAGACAGGGTTTCTCTGTGGCTTTAGAGCCTGTCCTGGAAAAAGCTCTTGTAGACCAGGCTGCCCGCAAACTCACAGAGATCCACCTGCCTCTGCTTCCCAAGTGTTGGGATTAAAGGTGTGCACCACCACCGCCCAGCCCAAATTTCCTTTTCTATAACACATCAGCAAAGCAAGATCCAAGAGTCACAGAGAGTGTGCATTCTCGAAGCAACAGTTCAGAGGAGGAAGCTTCCTCCCCGGCTCTGGCAGCTTGCTTTTCATAGGGTGAACTTCACCAGGGCTCAGAGAGGATTGCCTAGGTTCTTCTGCACCCCCAGAATGGACAGAAACAGCACCTACATGCTCTCTCTCATCCATCTTTAACACTAAGGTAGCTGAAATACATAGAGCCATATAAAGGCTGTGACTGCACAAGACTGGCCCTCTCTCCAGTCAGTCACAAAAAACTATTGGTACTGACAGATGCTGGGGGTGAGGAGACATTGGCTTCAGCTGTGTCCACTGGTGAACCCACATAATACAATAGATAGTTCCAACGCCATGGTCACAGACAGTCTGAGTAGAACATAGAAGGACAAAGAATGTGTGGATATGGAAAATAAATTAGTACAGAAGAGGGGTGTGCAACAAAAGAGAGTAGAGGTCAGAGCAATAAAAATGCATCATATACACATAAGAAATTGTCAAAGAAATTTAATTAACTTAACAAGTGCTAGTCAGATGTTAGGGGTGTTATGAAAGAAAATGGATCCCAAAGGGAGTGACACTATTAGGAGGCTTGGCTTTGTTGGAGTAGGTGTCACTTTGTTGGAAGAAGTATAGAGGGACAGGTTTTGAGGTTTCCTATGCTCAAGCTACACTCACTGTGGTACACAGTTGCTTCTACCTGAGGGTAAAGATGAGAACTCTCAGCTCCTTCTCCAGCACCATATCTACCTGCATACTGCCATGCTTCTTACCACAATGATAATAGATTAAACCTCTGAAACTGTAAGCCAGCCCCAATTAAACACTTTCCTTTATGAGTTTCTATGGTCATAGTGTCTCTTCACAGCACTAGAAACCCTAACTAAGACAGAAGTGGTGGTATATACCTTTAACCCCAGCATTCAGGAGGGCAGGCAGATATCTGTGAGTTTAATGCCAGCCTGGTCCATATAGTGAGTTGAAAGAAAGCTAGGGTCTCAAAAACTATGAACAAATAAAAACAAAGTAAGTACAGGCTTGCTGTATGGAAAGCTGAGAAATCTGGGAACGGAAAGTCCTTCTTCCTCTCCAGACACTTTCCCTGATGTGCATGATTTTAGTACTTAAGTAGACTTTGGCATGTTCTCCACAACCTCAGAGCAGGATAAAGCAAAAGCCCACAAGTAGACCCCCTTACTTTGGGAAATGTGTGAGGATTAATGTGCGTTTCTCAAGAGGCAGCTTGTCTTTTTCCTGTCTGGCTTGCTCCAGGAGTTGTCGTCTCATGATGGTAAAGACTGAGCGAAGCAGTGTTCTCCCAAACACCTTTGTGGTTTCATACCGAGGTAGGCTGTCACAGAACTGTGGTACATTACAGTAGCACAACCACCTGTAAGAAGAGGAGACGAGGGCCATCAGTGGGCTACCAAGTCACAGTCTTCCAAAACACCCAGTCACAGAGACCTGCTAGGCAATGAAGCTTAGTTGAGTAGGCCTATGATGACAAGCCAACAAGATCACTGCCAGGTAGTGAGCCTGGGATGAGACCAGCTGGCCCATATATATATCCCCTGTGATCCCATGTGGGCATCCTCCTTTCATCATGCAGGGAACCTTAAATCCAATTCTGCTTTACTGGTGTGGGACAATGATCTGTATTCTGTCAATCATATTTTAAATAAACACTGATTGGCCAGTAGCCAGACAGGAAGTATAGGCGGGATAAGCAGACAGAAAGTAGAGGCAGGTCAAAGAGAACAGGAGAATTCTGGGAAGAAGGAAGCCCATTCCTCTACAGTTGTGACCTGGCCACAGAAGAACCAAGATGTGACTGCCTCACTGAAAAAGGTACTGAGCCATTTGGTTAACATAGACAAGAATAATGGGCTAAAATAAGTTATAACAACCAGTTTATGATTAATGTAGACCTCTGCGTGATTTCTTTGGGACTTAACGATTGCAGGAACTGGGCAGGACAGAAACCTCAGTCAACACTTTACCACTTGACTACCTACATGGAAATAGTACACTATTCAGTGCCCCCTTTTTGCCTATAAAACAGGGACAAATAACAGCTAATTACTAGATTTTCTATGGAGTGATTTTCTAAGGTACAGATTGTAATCTGTGTTTATATTGAGATTATAGTCCATGAGTTATAGCCTATAAACCTAGTACTCTGGATGCTAAAGTAGATGAGTATTAAAGATTGAGCCCCAGAATTCCTGCAGGCCAGCAGGGATGCTTCTGCAGGCCAGGACAGAGACTCTGTACCTAACTCACTGAACAACAAGAGAAGTGTGGCTGCCTGAGTCACTGAAGTCCAAATGCACTATAACTGGATGTGTTGTGTGGTATATTCCTTCACTGTCCATGTGAAGTCAGAGTAGGCATCTGAAAAATGCACATAATATCACATCTACATGGCCAAAATGACCTTGCCTAATTATAGAGTTGGAAATGACTCTTTTCTATAAAACATTTGATAGGTGTAAGATATTTTAATAGTATAAAGTACTTAATTTTTAAAAAAAATTTAAAAAGGAAGTATGTATATAAAATACGGATTGGGATGTAGCTCAGAGGCAGAATGCTTTCTTTTTTAAAGTTTTTTATTTTTATTTGCATTGGTGTTTTGCCTGCATATATGTCTGTGAAGGTGTCAGGTCCCCTGAAACTGGAGCTACAGACAGTTGTAAGCTGCAATGTGGGTGCTAAGAATTGAACCCAGATCTTCTGGAAGAACTGTCAGTGCTCTTAACCACTGAGCCATCTCTCCAGCCCTTCGAATGGTTTCTTAACATGAGCAAGTTCCTAGGTTTTATCTCCAGGACTGACAAGAAAAAAAAAACTATATAAATGAGAAAGAAATAAGAAAAGCAACAGAGAAATTCCCTTTTGTAAGATTGCTCAAGGGGGAAGCCATTTGCTGCTAAGCCTAACAACCAAAGTTCCATCCCTGATACCCAGAATCAATTCCTACAAGTTTTTCTTTTGACCTACACACACACACACACACACACACACACACACACACACACGAGCACATGTGCATATACACACACTACATAAATAAAATGCACTAAAATAAATAAATACCTATGCAACTAAGCATGATAGTACATGCCCTCATGATCCCAGAACTCAAGTGGCTGAGGTAAATTTCACTGAAGTTTGAAGCCAATTTGGGATAGCTACATATTAACACTCTTTCCTTTCAAATACACACACACACACACACACACACACACACACACACACGCACACTTCTTTCTTATGATACAGGGTGAGTGAATGAAAAAAAATTGAATGAATTGCCTAGGCAACACTCTCTTACCACTGAAGCTGTGGGGAGAAGATAAAGAGCTCTAAGACTGTTGAAAACCCAGTCAGGTGCAGGAAGTAATAAGCTTTGACCATCTGTCGCCTAGGTACACCCTCTAGGGTCAGAGTCAAAACTGCTTTCAGTACCGTAGGATGAGCAAGGAACCAGGTTTGCAGTGAGCTGCCAATAGGGGCTTCTTCCCGCAGTGATGCTAGAGAACCAGAAACAGCAAAAACCACAAATCATGAGAGTCCCAGAGGGCAGCTCTCAACTAGGGAAATCCTATGGGAATGAGCCATTTTGCAAACCATCCTCTTCCAAGTTAGTGCTGCTTTCCAAAAATCAAAGCCCGTCCTCCCTCAGCGAGGATACCAAAGGTAAGGAAGGTGAAGTGAGGACAGAAATGAGCAGCATACCACTGTGCACATCTGTGGCCTCGTTTTTTCACATTGTTTTGTGCCTAACACTCCCCCCCCACACACACACACACATATAATTTCCTGTTTCTGGAAGGCTAAGGCAGGAGGGTGGCAGGTTCAACATCAGTCAGAGCTACACAGGGAAGTGGGAATGGAGGGAGGGATGGACGGATGTGGGGACCCACAGTTGTGAGCTTGTTCCTCCTTGACTGGAGGTCAAAAGTTTGAGCTTATTTTTGCTCTCTCAATGTTGTTGACAACAGGTGTGACTACAAATGAGAGATTCTGACCTAGGGTGTGGTTAATTAGTATTTTGGGTATAGAGGTGGATCAGCTCCACCTAGATCAGAGAATTCAAGTCTATTCCTTATATCATGCTAATAAAGTCTTTTGCCTCCCCTTCCCCTTTTGGAGTGAAATATATGAGCATGTGGAAAATAAATGAGGCGAATTCAGTATTCACTGAATGCTCCTCCCGATGCTGTTCTGTGTTTCTGTCTCTTATTTCTCTCATATCTCTGTTCCTTTTGCTTAATAATTCTAATCCTCACACTCCTACCCTGTACGATTTTTGTTGAAGCTGGTCTTCGAAAGATGGAAAAAGAGAAGATGGATGGAAGAGAAGGAAGAGGGTTTTTGCTTGCTCCCTGTCCCACCTCCATATTTTGAGACAGTTGTAGTTGCTGGTTGTAGTCTAGCCTGGTCTTGAACTCACAGCAATCCTGCTACGTAAGTCGCTCATTAGGAAGAAGCAGGTTAGCGTTACTGCATCTGCTTTGATTCACAATCTTTTCTTCTTTTCAGTTTTATTTTATGTGTATGGCTATTTTGCCTGCATGTAGGTATCTACATTAGGTGTGTGCCGGCTGCCTGAGGAAGCCAGAAGAGGGTGTAAGATCACTTGGAACTGGAGTTATAGGTTGTTATGAACCACCTAAGATGAGTGCTGGAAAATAAACACAGGTCCTCTACAAAAGCAGTGTGTGCTCTTAACCACTGAACAATCTCCCTAGATTCACAATCTTAAAACCTTATATATGCTACTTCTGTTTCTTTTCATCCTTCTCTCTTAATATTTCATGTGCAAATATTATTTTGAATTTTACTTATTATTGAAAGTGACCTTGTTACAAAAAAGCATTACTTACTCTGTAATTCCAAAATTCATCTGTTTTGAAGTCAATATTATTGGGCGTTAATTGTGCTCATTTAAAGGCAAGTGTGGTGGTTTGACTAAAAATGGCCTCCATAGATTCCTATGTTTGAATATTTGGCCCATAGTGAGTGGCACTGTCAGACAGGCTTTGAGGCATAGTGTGGCTCAGGCTCTTTCCTGATGCCTATGGATCAAGAACTCTCTCATAGAATTCTCAGCTCCTCCAGTACCACGTCAGTCTGCACACTGCCATGTTTCCCATCATAATAATGAACTAAACCTCTGAACTGTAAGCCAGCACCCATGAAATGTTTTGCTTTATAAGAGTTACAGTGGTCACAGTGTCTCTTCACAGCAATAAAACCATAAATAAAACAGGAAAAGTATCTGGAAATGAGAAGAAGCCAGCTCAATAATTAATTAAGAAAATATAAACACAGGAGCTACCTGGTCACAAACTTTTGTAATCAGAAGTCCCACTCCATGCAACTTTGACTATCCTGACACTATTTAAGATTTAAGATTAAAAGACAAGAAAACACTGCTGGAGTTGTAACGTAGTAGGGACAGTGCTTGCCTTGCATGCATGCCCAGGATTCAGTCCTCAACACTGCATAAACCAGGCTTGATAGTGCACTTCATAACCCTAGCACTATTTTAATCGCATTATCTGGTAATTTTCCATATTGATCATATCGATAGATGGCAATACTTTTTTGTTTTGGTTGATTTTATTTGTTTGTTTGTTTATTGAGACATAGTTTCTCTGTGTCCTGCCTATTCTGGAACTCACATTATAGACTAGACTAGCCTCGAATTCACAAAGATCCACCTGCCTCTGCTACTGAAATTCTGGAATTAAAGATGTGTTCCACCAAGCCTGGCTTAGGTGGCTAAACTTCTGATAAAGAGTAAAACTTATTTAAATATTCTATCTCTTATCTCAACCGCTCTGTGAATCAGAGTCTCCTGCAGGCTGTCCTTGAACTCAGAAGCCTCCTGCTCCAGGCTCCTGAGTGCTGGGGTTAAAAGAATGCACCATCTGGGGTTCATGTCTGAAAGTGAGGGGTGCTGACTTAGGTCTAAAACACATTAAAGGCAGCTGACATTCTAAGAAGGTGGGATTTCTGCTACAAAGATTTATAATTATAAAAGTTTATACTTATATAATAAAAGCTTTTATTGTTTGTTTTTGAGATAGGGTTTCTCTTTGTAGTCCTGATTGGCCTGGAACTACTTATATAGAATAGAATGACTTCAAACTCAAAGACCCACTTACCTCTACCTCTCAAGTATTGGGATTAAAGGGGCATGCCACCACAACTGGCTAAATTATAATTAAAAACTTGCAGTACTTTTCCTTTTATTCAAAATAGTAACAAGCAATACTGTTAAATCTGCTTTATTGAGTTTGAATTTTGTGGTAGGTTCTCCTGTAGCTCAATCTGACTTTGAACTCCTGACCCTCCTGGCTTTAAATCCTGAGGACTAAGATTATAGGTGTGCATTACCTCAGGTTGTTTTTTTTTTAAATTTTTTTATTGAATAAAGCCTTACAGTTTATCTCTGGGACAAGTACCTTCATCTCTAAGCCCAATATTAACAGCAGAAAATCCTATTTTGCCTCATTTTCATGTTAATGGTATGTCCATAAGTATGGGTTTCTTTACTTTAATTCCCCCAACTTTGCTGGGTTCTTCTCCTTGCTTCCTGTCTTAATCAAAGGGCATGATAGAATAAGCAGGGTGGTAAGTGCATCTACCTTCTTCTGCTATTTCTATCAGATGCCATATTAGCCTCAAAGGTCTCATTCAAACACTCACTGTAAACAGATTTTTTTCTTGGGCCACCAGCCTACCAAAAAAATGACACTGAGACTTACTATTAATTATGAAAGCTCAACCTAAACCTTAGATTTGTCCCACTAGCATTTACATTGTGCCTCATGGTATTTTACCTCTCCTCCATCTTGTACCTCCTGTTCCCTCTCTTTGTCCTCTGACTTCTCTCCTGCACCTAGATTCATCTCCTCTCCTTCTCTGGTGTCTGGAAGTCCCACCTAACCTCTTCCCGCATAGCTATTGGCCATTCATCTTTTTATTAAACCAATCAGAAAGTGCCTTGGCAAAGACACATCTTCACAGTGTACAAAAAGTTTATTTGACAACATTTCTCCCTTTTGTCTAAACAAAAAGGAAAGGTTTTTAACTCTAATATAATAAAACTATAAACAATAAGAACAATTATCAGGTAAGACTTACATTCAGAATGTCCAGTTCATCTGCATATGGAAAATTCAGAGAAAAGTCTATCCTATCTTGGTGAGTCCAAAGTTTTGTACCTTGAAAAATTCACTTTTTATCCTAATTTGCACTAACATCTCAAAACCTACTATATTTTTTTAGACCTCAAAACATTTTCTTAGAAAAACAATTTAAGCATTTATGTCTCTCAAATTTATATACTTTACACATCTTTTGTAAGTTTCCTTATTGAATTTGATTTGGTAAAATAGAAAACTGTAACTATAACAACTATCTCATCTTCACCTATCAGAGACCCAAAAAGGATGTAATATTACTTCAATAAACAAGAAGTGCAAAGCAAGCAACTTTGAAAATGGTAGAAATTATAGAAATAGTTGGCTTCCTGGACAGTCACCCAAGTGGGGCATCCAACTTCGGCTTACAGGCACAGAATATCTGTCAGACTTTTCTGTGAAGCAGGAATTTTGAAAGTCTTGGCAAAGTTCATCAGTCTTATTCCTTTATGTCCTGCCTCTCCAGTTTGTACAGTATGCTGTCAGCAGTCAAGGCAAGGACGATTTCTTGCCTAAATGACTACCTCTGTCACAATGGAAAAAAACCCTCCATATATCAGTTCTTTGATACACATCATCCTTCTATGTGTGAAGTAGACTGGTGCTGCTAGGACCAGACATGTCTCACTATCATGAAAAGCCTTAGATTTTTAAAGCATCTTAAATGTCATATTCTGTATGTCTCTGAAATGTTTGAAGACCATCTACCTACAAGTATAACAGTTTAACCATGAAAAAATACCTAATGTGACAACAAGTTTGACTGTCATAGATCACTGTTAACTTTTCTTTATTATCCTTACAAGCTTTCAAGGACTAGAACTTTACATTTTTAAATTAGTTGCATGGGTACAATACCTTAACAAGAATAGAAAAATACATATATTGTAAAAATTAACCTTAAATTTGTATCAATACACAGAAATATCTTAAACAAGAGTAGAAACATATACAGTATAACAAAAATAACCCTAAATTTGTATCAATTTACAAAAACCCATAATGTAAAATATTTGAGACTAGTAGTTGTTTTTTTTTTAGTTTGAAAGTTGATTCAATAACCTCCTCTTTTATCCTGTCATTTCCATATATCCCCCTTTTTCTTATCAGAATGAGATCCCTGAATCTAATTTCCTTTGTTTAGTATCCTAGCACCTCCCTGACCCTAATCAATAAAAACTTGTGACCACTTCTCCCTCCCAAACAATGACCAATATCCATCAAATGACCAAAAACCACCCACCCCACAGCTTGGGAATGTGAGCATCATGTTATTTAAATTACTCATTGCTGTCTAGGAGCAATAGCATCTTTAGGAGACCATGGGAAAACTGAGATTAAAAACACGGACTGCTTCATGAATTTGTGTGTCCTTGCGCAGCAGCCATGTTCATCTCTCTGGGTCGTTCCAGTTGAAGTATTTGTGCTGCTGAAGAACTCTTGCTCAATTGTTCATTACTCTTGTCTATTTTCAGCTACACAACTCCACATTGGCAGACTGTGTTTTAGACAGGGGGGTTAAAAAAATTTCCCTGAATCTGTTTCGTGCCAGACAGCAGTGCAAACTTCCCACAAAATACAACTTCACAGAAGAAGAAACTGAGTATCAGGGAAGAGACTGGTCAACAGCTGGGAGAGACAGAGATAAGCCTTGAGTCCACTCAAAACCCACATTTTGTTTTTGCTATTTCATAAGTATCTATTAATATGCGCTACCTGTTTCATGATAGTTCCCAAATGCTACCCTATACTATTACTTTATTTTATTTATTTCTGTTTGTTTGTTTGTTTGACTGACTGACTGACTGATTTTTGGAGACAGGTCTTCTCTATGTAGCCCTGGCTGTCCTGGACTCACTGTATAGATAGGCCTGGCCTTGAACTCAAAGATCTGACTGCCTCTGCTTCCTGGGTGCTGTAATAAAATCTGTGTGCCACCATACCTCGTTTTATTTTATTCCCAGTCATTCCACCTCTGCTGAGTGCATAGAATCACAGGTGTACACACACACAAACCTCTTCCTTTAACTATTTGCTTTGGGGGGGGGTCCTTTTTTTATTGATTAAACAATAATTTTCTTCCTTAAGAGCTACAAAGACAGGCTTGGTATTGCACACCTGCAATCTCAGAATTCATGACACTGAGCAGAAGATCCTATGTTAAAAACCAGCCTGGGGTATACAGAGAATCCAAGGTTACATGAGCTACATGCACCCTGTGTCAAACACACACAGTAGGAATATCATGAAAAGAAATAAAATGGATAATATTGGCCACTGCTGTTTAAAATGAAGATAAATATAGGTCTTTATATTTTGTATAATGAATGTGCCAAATTGTTTGTTTTCTAATTTATCTTTCATGTCTTGTTGGTTCAGTTTGTTATGTGATTTTGTACTCTTCTCATTAAACTTAATACAAAAAGGTTAAATTTAAAAAAAAATACAAGCTATGTATTAGTTCATGTATCTTTTTCCTTTGAGACAAAGTCTCGTTATATAGCTCTGATTGACCTGAAACTCACTAATGTAAACCAGACTGGTCTTCTCATAGATGGACCTGCTTCTGCCTATCAAGTGTTGGAATTAAAGACATATGCAACCAGCTCATGTAGTTATTGTAAATTAGATAGTAGAAACATTGAAGAAATAAAAAAGTACAAGTTAACCTTATTTAGTTTAATATATCCAAAATACAGAGTCAGTGGAATGGCTCACTGGGTAGCAGTGCATGCCAGCAAACCTGAGGACTCAGTCACATCCCTCTGTATCACATGGTAGAGGAGAGAACGAATTCCTACAACCTGCTCTCTCTGACCTCCACACAAGTTACGTGGCAGACAGACAAACAGAGAGAGAGAAAGAGAGAGAGAGAGAGAGAGAGAGAGAGAGAGAGAGAGAGAGGGGATAGATGGATAGATGATTGATAGATATAGATAGATAGATAGATAGATAGATAGATAGATAGATAGATAGATAGATGATAGATGATAGATAGACAGACAGATAGATAGAAAATTGAATTTAGAAAGCAAACTAAGAACTTGAAAGTTAAACAACATAGACATGTTCTACGAGTTGGTGGAGTCACCATAATAACTGGGCAACCCTTTCCTGCAGAGGCAAACAGCGATTTCATGTTTAGAGCCAGGGTGCAGTACCTCTGTTGTAATTAGGGGCGGCGGGGCTGCGTCCCCGGCACCCGGCGGCCCACATGGCTAGCTCTAGGTTATGCCCCAAAATAATTACACAGAAACTGTATTCTTTTAAACACCGCTTGGCCCATTTCTATCTAGCCTCTTCTAGGTTAGCTCTTGCACCTGGACTAGCCCATTTCTAATAATCTGCTGTAGCCCACGAGCTGGCTTACCAGTAATGATCTTAACCTGTGTCTGTCTGGAATGGGAGAATCATGGCGACTCCCTGACTCCGCTTCTTTCTCCCAGCCTTCCGTTCTGTTTACTCCACCCACCCAAAGGTGGGCCTATCAAATGGGCCTAGCAGTTTCTTTATTGCTTAACCAATGAAATCAACAGATTGATATATGACACTCCCACATCAGTACCTCGACTCAATTACCTTGTGTAGTTCTCCTTGTATCCAGAGATGTCATCATTGGGAGATCGCAGTCTGCGCTGTGACGGAGCTTCCAGGTGCCAGTAGTTGATTCGGTTCAGAAACATCTTGGCCAGCTCAACTGTTGTCTGCCTCTCTTTTGATGGCAAGTGACTAAACTTGTACTGTACAAAGTTATTTACACCCTGAAAAGAGTGGAAGGCAGCATGTTCATGTAGCTACGTGACCACACTAACTCTGAATGAACACAACCTTAGTTGTTGTAGCAAAGGAACAGACATTCTCAGTCCACAAAAAAATGTTCCCTTTTCTTCAAAATAAACACCACAGCCCAGGAGAAAACTCCCTTCTCGTCACAGTGGAAGAAAAGGTGACAAAACGGAAAAACAGAATTACAATTCTGTTCCCTCTTTAAATCCTGGAGCATCAAGGAGAAAATCATGGGTTCAGATGGGAAGGGTCAAAACCCTTTAAATGAAAAAGCATGAAGAGTGAGGACTTGGATAAATGATTCTCTCTGCGAAATTTTTTAAACTTTCTACCTTATCTTTCATCAACCTAAACACTAAAATTTGTACCTTTTTTAACACTCTTGTAGTTTTAAAGAATAGCAGAGGAAGAAAAAGAAACATTCAGAAATGTGCATTTTTCCACAACCATTAGAGATTAATCTAAACTTTCTATAGAATATTCCCATCTCATCACATAAAAGAACAAAAACTCTTATTAGTTCTTGAACTCTTATTAGTTTAGAATCAACATGAAACTTAACTCTCAGCCGGGTGGGGGTTGCACATGCTTTTAATCCCAGCACTCTGGAGGCAGAGGCAGACACTCTGAGTGTGAAACCAGCCTGGTCTACATAGTGAGTTCCAGGACAGCCAGGGCTACACAAATGAACCCTGTCTCAAAAAAATAAATAAATAAAGAGGAGTGGAAGAAAAGAAAAATGTGTTCTCCCAACACTTACTTACAAAAGTCATTTATGTAAAAGACTCTGGTATCATTTGGTGATGGTTAGCTCTGTAAACTGGATGACCTAGGATGGATTTCAGGGAAGGAGACCTAGAGAGGGACTGTTGACAATGGCTTGGCCGTTGGGAATGTCTTCAGGGCATGATCTTAATCAAGTTTATGAGATACATTATAGGTAACACCATTCCCAGTGACTGAGGTCCTGATCTTCCTAAGAGTGGAAAAACCAAACTGAACATAAGCGATTCTCATGCATACATTTCTCCCTGCTCTTGACTGTGACTGTGCTCTGACCAGCTTTGAGGGGCTCCTGCCATGGGACTTCCCTGCTATGAAAAACTACAACCTAGGTTGAAAGCTGAATAAAACCCCTTTCTCTTCAAGCTGCTTTTCTAAAATCAAGTATTTTATCACAGAAACAAAGCTAGAATTAGAATTAAACACACCTCAGGATACAATGTTTTCCACATCATTAATGATTCCCTCTCTCCTCAATCATTTTTTTTCCCACAGTGCCAAATAAAAAGACAAAGATTTGATTTTAAGACATCAAGAGCAAGAAAGCACACTTTATGAATTCTTACCAACTACACATTCTACTCATTTTCCCCTACATACAGAGTGGAGTCTAAGTGCACAACACGCCTAAAAGACAGAAGCTAGATTATTTATTACAGTGAACATTGTAATGGCTGACACTTCTGGGTTCCAGGGCCACGCATGTGCAGACAAGCCCTCAGGCAGAAGTGCCTAATGGCCCCGGGAATATTAAGATTCCCCCATGACCCACGTGCAGCATGGTTGCATCATCTACGTACGACGCAGCTGCGTGAGCCCTTGCGCACAAGTGTGAGCTCCGTCTTCTATGTATGACAGTGCCACATCATCCCCAGGTGCGCATGTGCTCGCTAGGCAGCCTTTAAAAGATGGATGCACCATCTTCAGCTCTCCCTCCCCCCCCCCCCCCCGCCCGCACGCACACCAAGCTTCACCAGGTCTGTACATCTCTCCCCCCAATAAACTCCTAATCAGGTTTGTTGTGTGTTCCTTGTTTCCTTCTCACTGGCGCCAGGTAATTTCAGGCATGCTTGTGGGACCCAGAGTGTCCCAGGTAATTCCTATTTTCTTTGTGTTAACATCTTGAAGCTGAGTGGGGATGTATGCAAGACCTATACAGAAATGTGGAAGGAAGTATGAAGAGTTCGCTAGAATACAGCTTAATGGTATATACTGACTATTCACGTGGTTCTAGGTTTGAGCACTAGCAAACAAAAGCTGGCAGGAGTGCTTCGGCTTTAAATTCATGTAAAAGAGATGTTCAAAATAATTTTACCTGTTCAATACTGGGTTTTTCAAATGGGGGCTTCTTCTCCAAGGAGCCTTCAACCACAGGTTTTCCTCTTTGCAAAATAGACTTTCTCAAGAGCTGCAAAGAAATCATTTTTAAAAGAAATCTTTAGTTTGAAATGCTTTTTAGGGTGTGTTTGTGAGTGTGTGATTTATCATTTGGTTTTTTTTAAGACAGAGTCTCCCTATGTAGTCTAGACTGGCATTAAACTCATAGCCCTTCTTTCTCACCCTCACCTACCCAAATGATGGAATTATGGGTATGTACCAACATAACTGGGACTTAAAACACACACACACACACACACACACACACACACCACATCTATTCCTTTTCTTCATTTCCCACCCCACATATACCTAACCTTTAAGTGAAGTCACCAACTATATTCTACTCAGCCGCATGAGAATTAATCTTCAACTCAAACAAACTCCTGGCTACCACAAACTTTCCTCATGTCTCTAAACAGAGCTTAGGGAGCTCTTCCAATTTTGAGCAGCCCAGACTACCCTGCGCTGATCCCCACACTCTACCCTTCCCCTCAGTTTCCCCTTTTTTGCCATTTTTGCTTGCTAAGGACCCAAAAGTCCATTTATACTTATTGAAGCCACCACAAGTAGCTGAAGGTCTCAGAGTAAACACTAGAAAAGCCAGGATCCATTCTATAAATAAGGCAACTGCTGCCCACAGGAGTCCCCTGGGAGGGAACTTTCTCTAGTTCTTTTTCCATTTCTTCTCCATCTGTAGATGCCAAGTGCATGTTCTTGGTGCCCACAAACCAAATATACTGCTTTTAATTCCTGTCCTAGGATCAAAAGTCTCCAAAGAGCAAACAAACAGAAAAGGGACAGAGCCATTTTTACCCAGAACTAAGCTGAAAATGAATTCAACCCTAAGGACTCTGGAGAAATCCACACTTCTCTTCCTCCCTTGATGCTTATGTTTAAGTCTACTTTAAAACATTTTCTTAGGTTGAATGTGGTCACTCACACCTATAATCCCAGTACATGGAAGGGTGAGACCAGAGGACTGCCGTCAGGGCCGTCATCGGTTACAAAATGAGTTTGAAGCCAAACAGAGAGCTAAGTTAGCCAAGGAATTCCCTCTTTGCCATGGCTGCTGGGAATCTCAGTGGATTCTTTACAGGATTCTCATAGTTTCTGTTTTCTTCTAAAAATTTCCTCTATTATCTCCTCCTCCTCCTCCTTCTTTTTCTCTCTTTCCCTCCATCTCTCTCTCTCTCTCTCTCTCTCTCTCTCTCTCTCTCTCTCATCCTCCCTTCCTTCCATTTCATTGTATTAACTAAGGGATTAAGGGTAAATAGCAGATAGAAGGTAGAAGGAAAATCCATTTTTAAAAAAAAAAAGTTTTAGAGGGGCTGGAGAGGTGGCTCAGTAATTAAGAGCATTGGCTATTCTTCTAGAGGTCCTGAGTTCGATTCCCAACAACCACATGGTGGCTCACAACCATCTATAGTGGGATCTGATGCCCTCTTCTGACCTAAAGTTGATAAAGCACTCATACATAAATAAATAAATCTTAAAAAAAAAAGTTTTAGGGTACTAATGGTATATTCTAAAATGGTATGGGGTGGGTGGGTAGAGGATTGAATCACAGAGTCATCTGATTGAACCCTGACAGATTCTGGTTGTTACTGCTTCTTTAGAAAAATAACTTAGTTGAGGGAAAACAAGGACTGCATAGCTGCCGCTACTGTTTATCTTGGAGCAAATGCCCTGCCAAGTGAAGGCACTGACAGACTTTCCAACCTGTAGGCCATGTGGCTTACAGCCAGTATAGCCAGCCAGCAAGCATTGTCCTGGGTCATAGCACTGTGGTCTCTGCCCGCTCCCATCTGCAAACAACAGTACAGATATACTTGCTTCTACAATCCAAATCCAAGATATCCAGAGCTCTCTTCTCTTCCAGCCATCCCTTTCTCTTCTCTCCTCTCCTCCCCTCTCCTTCTCTTCTCTTCTCTCCTCTCCTCTTCTCTTCCAGCCATCCCCTTTTCTTCTCTCCTCCTCTTCTCTCCTCTTCTCTTCTCTCCTTTCCTCTTTCCTTTCTTTTGGCTAGGTCTTTCTATGTAGCCATGGCTAGCCTGTGCCTTACTAGGAATCACAGGCTAGCTTTGGATGTGTAGCAGTCCTTACAGTCTCACCCTCCTGAGTACTGGGATGCTAGCATGAGACATTATACCCAGTTTCCACATCCATCACTTCATGTCTGAAGAAATAGGTTCAAAGTCTCCCAGTTCAGTTTCCCTCAAAACTGAACATTCCACAAGATCAAGTTGCCAAGTGGGGAATTGAGCTAAGAAAAAAAAAAGACTTTTTTTTAACTCAGAAAATAAACACAGGCAACTGGAATTGCTTGTTTTTAAAACTCATAATTACTCAAGTTTTGTTTTAAGATGGAGTCTCTTGTAGCTTCAAATTCATTGTGCAGTTGAGGATGACCTAAGCCTTCTGACTGCTCTGCCTTCACCTCAGAGGGGCTGGGGCAGAGGCTGGAATTCAGATCAATAGGACACTTGTTTGGTACATATAAGACCCTGGTTTCAAAACCCCAGTACCATAAAAGGTAAAAACTAAAATTAAAAATCAAAATAAGTTAAGCACAATTGTTCTTATTAAAAGAATAAAGTTTTGTGGGCTGGGAATATAGCTAAATGGTAGAGCAATTGTCTGACATGTGCCTTGCCCTCCTGTGGTACACGCATGCAGACATTCATGCAAGCAAAACACTCACATACATGAATAAAAAACACTACAGAGAAAGATAAAGAGAGCAACCACAGTGGGAGGTAAGTCGGTTTCATAAAAATCTATAGAAATCACTAAGCATGGTGGCCCGTGCTTATAACCCAAGCACTAGAGTGACTGAGGGAAGAAGACCAGTGAGTTCAAAGTCAGTCTAGAAATGACTAGGAGACACTATTTCAAAATGAATCTAAAAACAAGTGAAACCTGAAAGACAAACTGTTCTCTGACCTTCACATGTGAACCATAACCTGTACAAGCACACTTACAAATCAAGTAATTAAATATAATAAAAATGTTAGAAAATCTCACCTTGAATAGGTAGAAATAAACTTGTTTGGTATCTGCATCTTCTTCTTTGTGGACACAGGTAAAGAGGTACTCCACATCCAACACAATTCCCAGGAGTCTGTTCATTTCCTCCTCTGATGCATTCTCCAAGTGGGAAACATGAGCAGCTAAAGGTGAGAGCAAGCAAAAGGTGTAAGACTCAAGAGATAGTCACAGACATTATCCACAGTAAAACACACATGCCTATAATCCCGAGACTTGGCAGGCTGAGACAGGTAGAACACAAATTCCAGGCAAGCATAAACTACACAAGATCACAAATAAAAAACATAAAACAGTGGTGTTGTTTGCTATTTTGTCTGTGTTCTGACAATAAAATGTGTTTGGAGTCAGAAGGTGGAGCTGGTCACTAGTTAATCATAGAGTTCTAGAGGTACAGAGAGTAGACAAGAAGTGATAAAGTAGGGCAGAGAGAGACAGGTTTGCAACCCTATATTTGACTCCTGATTTTTATTGTTAAGATTAATTATTTTTATGTCTCACCTGGTGTTCAACATGGGGCACATATGCAAGAGATAGCCACTTACCGCTGTCTGTGCAGCTAACACAACTGCAACTCATAGCCGCAGATGCAATCACAGATGCCAGAATCAACTGGCTTCTCCTCCCTTGCCCCAAGCCCTCTGGGAGAGTCTCGGATCTTTCTGTTGTAGCCTCTCTACAGCAATTTCCATAAGCACTTGGGCTCCTAGCACCACCAGAGTTACCCCTCACCACCACACCGCTCGCCTTCAGACAGCTCTTCCCACACGTTTCTTGTTTCTTCCGCAGGATCCTCTGTGTAAGTTTTTCAGATGACTAGCTCCCTCTCCCCACACCCTGTGAGATGCAGGCTTATCTTGAACCCCTTCCTTGGGCTGCTGCCACACTAGGTGGCTGCCCTGACAGTCACTGGGGTTTTTACTGTTGTTGCCACCATCAGACACTCTCAACTCACAGCTACACACCAGCAGCAGCAGCCATCCTCAGCCAGGCTGCTCACCACCTGTGTTCTCCACTTAGACAAGCGACACAACAGCAGACAATCTCACACTTCACCACCATCAGCAGCAGATTTGGTAATACAATTGGGAATTCCTAAAATGGGGGGACGGACTAGTTTTAAAAAAGAGTGGTTTTTTCCCACATAAAAAAATAAGAAACACTGTTATCGGTTGTTATTAGTCACCTATTATAATCGAACTTGTAGTCATGTTAGGTAAGTTTGCAAGGTCAAACAGTAATATATTTTAGATAGACAGTTGGTCTTCAAACAATTCAGAGATCTACAGAAAATGGCATTTAAGATATTTTAATAACATAGGTTCTTTTATTTTATGACAATGAGACATGTCTGCTCCTGGAAGCACCAACCTACTTCAGAGAAGATGATGGGCACTGAAGAGATTCCTATGGAGTTTACTATCTATGAGGGAAAAGACCCTGTGGAAAAATGCTGACAGTATGCTGTGCAAATTAGACAAGCAGGACATAAAAAAAAAAACAGGATTGCCACACACTATCAAGGACAGCCCTTCAGAATTTCCTGCTTCACAGAAAAGTCTCTCAGATATTCTAGGCCTGTAGGCCAAAGATGGATGGCCCAACATTACAAGGGAGCTTTAGGGGACTGTCCAAGTAGTCAGCCATTTCTCTCCTTTCTTAAGTTTGGAAGTTGCTTATTCTGTACTTACTGTTACTCACATAATATTATATCCTCCTCAGGTCTCTGATGGAGTTGAAGACTAGATAGCTATGGTTAAAAGTTTTGGTTTTTTTTTTTTTTTTTGGTTAACAAATTCAGAAAAGAAACTGACAAGGAAGGTGTAAAGTACGCAAGGTTGAAAGACATAAAAAGATAGTTCTGGGTTGATAAACCAAGTTAGGATAGAAACTAAATTAGGTACTATACTTTGGGATGCTCAAGAGAGCATAGATAATGGAGCATTTTCTCTGACTTTGTCAATGTATATGGACTAGACATTGTTAATGTAATTACTACCTGTATATATTTGGATATAATTATTGTATATAGTTTTACTAGGTTAGTTAAAACCTTTGTCTTTAGTCTGGTGGTGGTGGCACATACATTTAATCACAGCACTTGGGAGGCAGAGGCAGGTGGGTCTCTGTGAGTACGAGACCAGCCTTTTCTACAAGAGCTAGTTCCAGGAAAGGCACCAAAGCTACACAGAGCAACCCTGTCTCAAAAAAAAAAAAAAAAAAAAAAAAAAAACCTTTTGCTTTTTATTTAGACAAAAAGGGGTAATATTGTGTGATATTTTGTTTTTGTTCTGACAAATAAAGCTAGCTTGGAGTCAGAGGGTGGAGCTAGTCACCAGTTAACCATAGAGTTCTGGAGATTTGTGTCGAGAGAAGACCAGAGGTGATAAAGAGGGATGGAGAGAGGATCTCAGCCTTTTTTTGGAATGAGGAACCCAAGAGGTAGGAAGCAACTGGCGGCTGTTCCTCTGCTTCTCTGATCCTTCAGGTTTCCACTCCGTATCTGACTCCTGGTTCTTACTGTTAAGGTTAATTAGATTAACACATCATACTGGAGCCAGCCATCAAGATGGTTCACCAGGGCACCCATTTGCACACAAGTCTGACAACCCAAGTTAAATCCCCAGAACCCACGCTGGAAGGAAACAACAGACTCTGACCTCTGACCTCCTCACAAGTGCTATGTCATGTTCATACCTACATGCACACACATGCACACAATAATAAGTAACCAAATATGGTGGCTTTCAGTGAGGTGGCTCAGTGGATAAAGGTTTTTACTGTCCAGATTGACAAACTTAGTCCAACCTTCTTATCTCACACAGTAGGAGATAACCAACTCCAAATGACTGTCCTCTGGCTCCATAAGCACACTATGGCACACACTCAAATACACAAGTACACAAACACACACACACATAATAAAAAGAAATTACTGAGGTGCCATTGACTGCAACCTCAGAGGAACTCTGAAGCACAGGCTGCAACTGAGTGGACCAAGAGGTGAGAAATCAGTCAGCCTACTGGGAACCCCACTCTCTAGTCCCAGGGCAAAATCCCAGACCCCTGCCCCACCTGCATCAGCTTCACTAACCAGCCAGCAGGCAAACTTCCTGCAGGTTGGCTGCTTCAATACACCCCCATCCATCAGACCCTGTAAGCTACAAGGCCCACTCCACACCCAAACCCACCCATCCCCTGCGACTTCAGAGGAACTGAAGCACAAATTGCAACTGCACAGAGCAAACAAAGAGAGTGGGTCAAGAGAAACCTCAGCGGCTCCCTGAGATACAGACAGAGACTGCACAGAGCAGACTAGGTGCAGCTCCCTAAGACACAGACAGCAACTGCAAGGATTGGAACAAGAGGCAAAAACACTGTCAGCTCCAACAGAGGAAGAAATGGGTAGGCACCAATGCAAAAATTCATTCAAAAATCTTAAAAGCAACATGGTAATGTCAGAACACAGTGGTCATACAACAGGAAGACGTGATGATCCTAACCAAGAAAAAGGAGAAGAAAATTATCTTAAATATATCTTTATAAAAATGATAGAGACCCTTAAAGAGGAAATGAAAAAATCCCTAAAATTATTGGAGAAAAAGACAAACAAAAACTTGGAATAAATCAATAAATAACTTAAAGAAAGACAAGGAAGCAAAGAAAAAGCAATCAAACAGGTGAAGAAAACAGTTCAAGATTTGAAAACTAAAGAGGCAATAAAGAAAACATAAAATGAGGAAATTCTGGAAATGGAAAATCTGGGTAAATAAACAGGAACTATCAATGCAAGCAACCAACAGAATACAAGAGATGGAAGAGAGAATCATAAATGTTGAAGATACTATAGAGGAAATAGAGTCATCTATCAAAGAAAATTCTTAACACAAAACATCCAGGAAATCTCAGATACCATGAAAAGACCAAATCTAAAAATAATAGGGATAGAGGAAGTAGAACTCCAACTCAAAGGCAGAGAAAATATATTCAACAAAATCATAGAAAAAAATTTCTAACCTAAAGAAGAATATGCCTGTGAAAGTACAAGAAGCTTGCCGAACACCAAATAGATTGGACAAAAAAAGTCCCCTCACCATATAATGAAAATGCAAAACATACAAAATAAAGAATATTAAGAGCTGCAAAGAAAAAAGACCAAGTAACATATAAAGGCAGACCTATCAGAATTACACTCAACTTCTCAATGGAAACCATGAAAGTCAGAAGGGCCTAGACAGATGTGCTGCAGTCACCAAGAGACCAAGGATGCAAGTTCAGACTACTAGACCCAGCAATACATACACTCACCATCAATGGAGAAAACAAAATATTCCATGACAAAACCAGATTTAAACAATACCTATCCACAAATCCAACCCTACAGAAAGTACTGAAAGGAAAACTTCAATCCAAGGAAGCTAATGGCACTGACAAAAACACAGGCAATAGATAACTTCCCACCAGCAAACCCCAAAGAAGGGAAACATTTAACCACTACCACTGAAAAATAACAGGAATTAACAACCACTGGTCACTAATATCTCTTAATATCAATGGACTCCATTCACCTCTAAGAAAAAAACAGGGTAACAGAATGGATACAAAAGCAAGATCTGTCCTTCTGCTGTATACAAGAAATACACCTCAACCTCAAAGAGAGATATTACCAAAAAGAAAAAGGAATGGGAAAAGATTTTCCAATCAAATGAATTCAAGAAACAAGCAGGTATAGCTATCTAACAAAATAGATTTAAAACTAAAATCAGTAAGAAGAGATGGAGAAGAACACTTCATACTCATCACAGGAAAAATTTGTCAAGATGAAGTCTCAATCCTGAACATTTATGGCCCAAATACAAGAGTGCCCACATATGTAAAAGAAACATTACTAAAGTTTAAATAGCAAATCAAACCCCACACATTAATAGTAGGAGACTTCAACACCCAACTCTCACCAATGGACAGGTCAACCAGACAGAAACGTAACAGAGAAGTATAAGAACTAACAGATATCATGACTCAAGTGGACATCTACAGAACATTTCACCCGAACACAAAAGAATATACCTTCTTCTCAGCACCTTATGGAACCTTCTGTAAAAGTGATCACATTCTCAGTAACAAA